AGCATCTGTGCTGCTTCTCCACCTTCTAGAGGCTGCTGCGTCCCTTGCTCCAGCCCCTTCCTGACACCACTCACCCTCGTACTTCTGTTATCACATCCTCCCCTTTTCTGTGTTCAGGGCTCCCTCTGTCTCTCTTGCAAGCACACTTGAGATTCCATTGAGGGTCACCCACATAACCCAGGAGAATTTCCCCACCTCAATATCCTTAACTTCATCCCATCTGCAAAGCCCTTTTGCCATAAAAGTTACCATTCACAGGTTCCAGGGATTGTGACATGGGTAGCTTTAGGAGTGATTATTCAGCCCATAACACTGCCTGTCTCCTGCTCACCAGAACTTGGAGTTTCTGTCTCAACAGGAGCCCCCTGTGTGGGAATAGCCTGTCTCAACGACACCCGCTATAGGGACCGGCTTCCTCAAAGGACCTCACAGTCCCGTCCCACCCCTGTGTACGGTCTTCGCCTTGGCTGGAGGGGCTGCAGCGGTGTGTCTTGGCGCCACCTTGTGGAGATAGGGCATCACAGCAGGTTGGAGCCCAGTAGAAGCACAACCAAGCCCCATGGGTAAAGTTTAAAATTTTCTGGCCGGGCGCTGTGACTCACGCCTGTAATTCCTGCACTTTGGGAGGCCGAGGCGGGTGGATCACACGAGGACAGGAGTTTAAGACCAGCCTGGCCAACATGGTGAAACCCCCTCTCTACTAAAAAATACAAAAAAATTAGCCGGACAGCTGGTGCACGCCTGTAATCCCAGCTACTCGGGAGGCTGAGGCACGAGAATCGCTGCAACCCGGGAGGCAGAGGCTGCAGTGAGCCAAGATCACGCCACTGCACTCTAGCCTGGGCGACAGAGCGAGACTCTGTCTCAAAAAAAAAAAAAAAAAAAAAAAGAGAGAAGAGAAAACAATGGCGAATTTGTTTCTGTTTGAGCTGAGACATCCATCTTCTCCTGACTTCGGATATTTGCCCTCCTGGTTATGAAACCTTCAAACTTGAACTGAATACACCACCAACTTTCCCAGTTTCCAGCTTGCAAACGGCAGATCGTGAGACTTCTCAGCTTCCATAATTACATGAGCCAATTTAAATATACAAATGGGGTTCTACAGAAAAACAGCATAAATTATATAGATACCTAACTTATACGTACATATACCTAAATTATACGTATAATTAAATTAAATTATACTTTAAATTAAATTATATGTATAATTATATATATAATTTATTCTGTTTTTCTGGAGAACCCTGACTGATACAAATGTTGAGCATCTTTTCATCTGCTTATTGACTTAATAACGTGTATATCTTCTTTGGGGAAATGGCTATTCAAGTTCTTTGCCCATTTTGTAACTGAACTATTAATATTTTTCTTTATATTGTTGAGTTGTAAAGGTTCCTTATATATTCTAGATATTAGAGCCTTATCAGATATATTTCTGCAACTATTTTCTCCTAATGTATAGGTTGCCTTTTTCTTTCTTTTCTTTTCTCTCTCTTTTTTTTTTTTTTTTCATTGAGACAGTCTCACTCTGTCACCCAGGCTGGAGTGCAGTGTGGCATGATCTCAACTCACTGCAGACTCGACCTCCCGGGCTCAAGCAATCCTCCCACTTCAGCCTCCTGAGTAGCTGAGGTTACAGGCACTTGCCATGGCACCCAGCTAATTTTTGTATTTTTTAGTAGAGCTGAGGTTTCGCCATGTTGCCTAGGTTGGTCTTGAACTCCCTGACTCAAAGTGATCTGTCAGCCTCGGTCTCCCTAAGTGCTGGAAGTGTGAGCCACAGTGCCTGGCAATCTATTTTCAATAGTGTTTTTTTTTTTTTTTATGTATACACAGGTTTGGAATTTTGATAATGTTCAATTCATTTTTTTTTTTTTTTTTTTTTTTTTTTTTTTTTGTTCTTTCTACTGGACCACCACTCTTGAGCCCTCTAATCCAACCTCCACTCGGCAGCCAGAGGGAGCTCTCTAAATGTAGTTACTGTCTCCCTGCTCCACCTGCTCAAAGCCGTGTCACATTTGTGATTTAGAACAGTATTTCTCAAACCTAATTTGCGAAGGCAGCAGGTGGAACTCTTCTTATGCACAGAAGCTGATTTGGTTGGTCTGGCATGGGTCTGGGAGTGAGCACATCTACCAAGCGGCTACTGGGGTAGCTTGTGTTTTCCACTGATGATCTCAGCAGTGTTTCCTGTCCCACATGCTCCTCTAGAACGCTGTACTCGCCCATGAAAAGGTGGAGTCTATTTCCCCTTCCTTTATTTATTTTTTTTTTGAGATGAAGTTTTGCTCTTGTTGCCCAGGCTGGAGTGCAATGGCACCATCTCGGCTCACCGCAACCTCCGCCTCCTGGGTTCAAGCGATTCTCCAACCTCAGCCTCCCGAGTAGCTGGGATGACCAACATGTGCCACCATGCCCAGCTAATTTTGTATTTTTAGTAGAGATGGGGTTTCTGCATGTTGGTCAGGCTGGTCTCGAACTCCCGACCTCAGGTGATCCGCCTGCCTTGGCCTCCCAAAGTGCTGGGATTACAGGTGTGAGCCACCACACCCAGCTATTTCCCCTTCCTTTGAACCTGATCAGGACTTTGCAATGGCATCAACATGGTGAGAGTGACCCTGCATGGCTGATGAGGCTGGGTTACACAAGGCGATGTGGCTTCTGACTGGCTCCCTCTCAGGATACATGCCCTTGGAACCCATTCTCTAAGCTCCTTGGGAGCCCAACCTAGCCCATATGGAGACAAGACAAGAAGAGAAACAGAGGCCCCCCAGCCCTCAGCCAGCATCAGCTGCCAGACAGGAGAGCAAATGCGCCTTCAGTGATTCTAGCTGAAGCCTCAGACCGCATGGAGCAGAGATGAGCAAAATGCACACTGTCACTGTTTTGAAACAACAATGTTTGGGGGCTGTTTGTTATGTAGCACTAGACAGCTGTAACAATGCTATTACTGCTGTGTTCCATGAATGACTGCACTTTGAGTAGCAGGGGGCTAGATCACTAGATAACCCCCATGGCTTCTGTATATGCTATTTTTCTACTTTTATATTCTTTTCTTTCACTTTTTTTTTTTTTTTTTTTTTTTTTGAGACAGAGTCTCACTCTGTTGCCCAGGCTGGAGTGCAGTGGTATAATCTTGGCAGACTGCAACCTCCACTTCTCCAATTCAAGCAATTATTGTGCCTCAGCCTCCTGAGTAGCTGGGACTATAGACATGCACCGCCACGCCTGGCTAATTTCTGTATTTTTAGTAGAGATGGGGTTTCGCCATGTTGGCCAGGCTGATCTCAAAGTCCTGACCTCTGGTGATCCACCCGCCTTGGGCTCCCAAAGTGCTGGGATTACAGGCGTGAGCCACCATGCCTAGCCCCATTCCCTTTCTTTACTTGGCTCATTTTTCCCTGTTGCCTCAGTTCTCCTCTAAGATCACTTTCCTGACATTTCAGCCTGGGCCTATTGCCTTCCCTGGGTCCCCTCAGCCTCCTGCGCCTCCATCATCTCAGCCCTGATCCCTCAGATTATACTTCCTCTGTCCCCACTCTGACCATCTTGGCTGTCCCTGGGTAGGGATGGGTATCTTCTCCCACTGATCTGGGAGACCCAGTCTGCCTGGTGCAGACTTGGTCACTGCTGGAAGGAGCTCAGTTAGTGTGGTGCTGAGGACAGCACTGGTGGGGCTGGTCCCCTTCACCCAAACTCCCACTCTCTTCCATAGATTTCACCTCTGTGGCCCAGGCCATCGCTTAGGGCAACTCTGCTTAAACATCGAGTCCATCCTCCATTCTGTTCTTGAATAGGGAGCACCTGTTACACCAGCCTCTCCCTTGTACCCTCCACTCATGTCTTTCTCCCCAAGAGACACAGGACCCCGGCACTTGTGAAGCATGACCCAGATCCTGGGGCTGTGGCATCCAACATCCTCATTCCCTATGACTCCTACTGTCTAGATGTAGCTGCCAAGAGACCCCCAGACTCCCCGGGCCTCTGTCTAGAATGCCAAGAGAAGGCGAGAACGCCGTGCCACTGCATGCTCTGTGGGGTCTCCTTCCCCCTTCCCTGGCTGCTGGGCGTGACTTCAATGTTCTCCCCAACCCCCAAACAGCAGTACTGATACCAGCTGCAGACCTGGCTCAGGTTAGCTAATGAGGACCAGGCTGGGAATGAAGCCTGAATCCCTAAACCCCAGTCCTGCACCCCACCCCAATCCTGGGGTTTCCACCGGACAAAAGGAAGCAGCTTGGTTTTCCGTTATTTTTGTTTTGAGGTAGAGTATCTCTCTGGCTCCCAGAGTGGAGTGCAGTGGTGTGATCTTGGCTCACTGCAGCCACCACCTCCTGGGTTCAAGCAATGCTCATGCCTCAGCCTCCCCAGTAGCTGGGATTACAGGTGTGCGCCACCACACCCAGCTAATTTTTGTATTTTTGGTAGGGACGGGGTTTCACCATATTGGCCAGGCTGGTCTCAAACTCCTGACCTCAAGTGATTCCCCAGCCTCGGCCTCCCAAAGTGGAAGTGGCTTATTTTTAAGGAGAAAACTCCCATGGAAAGGAATCAGCACCTCCTCTGTCAATGTTTCACTTCTCTGAAAAGACCCGCACTTCCAACTACAAAGTGCTTTGTAAACACAAGAATGAGGCTGGGCGAGGTGGCTCATGCCTGTAATCCCAGCACTTTGGGAAGCTGAGGCGGGCAGATCAGGAGGTCGGGAGTTTGAGACCAGCCTGACCAATATGCTGAAACCCCGTCTCTACTGAAAACACAAAAATTAGTTGGGTGTGGTGGCGCGTGCCTGTAATCCCAGCTACTCAGGAGGCTGAGGCAGGAGAATAGCTTGAACCCAGGAGGTGGAGGTTGTAATGAGCCGAGATCACACCACTGCACTGCAGCCTGGGCAACAGAGAGAAACTCCATTTCAAAAAAAAAAAAAAAAAGAATGAGAACACATGGACACAGGGAGGGGAACAGCACACACAACAAAATTTAAAAACAGGCGAAAATAATTTTAGTAATATTTTTACTACTACTGATATGATCAAAATATTATTATTTCAACAAGTAATTAATCTAAACATGATTGAGATGTCTTATGTTATTTTCATCATACTAAGCCTTTAATATTTGTTGTGTATTTTACACTCACAGCACATCTCAATTTGGACGCCCCATGTTTCAAGCACTAAATAGCCATGTGCGTCCGCTGTCCGTCTACCATACTGGACAGCGTTGATCTGAAATCCCATCTGTATGTATCACCATCACATTTGCAGAGACCCCATCTCAGCAGCACAGCTGAGGCTCATCTGCAAAAGCACCTGCAACTTCTCTACAACCTCCCACATCACCTCCAAACACATCCTCATGTCATCTGCCAACACACCCATAGCTCACAGGCCAATGTCTAAATCTCATTGCAGGCATCTTCAGAGAAAGCACTTACTAAAGGGGTATACTTGATTCCACATCTGATTTGACCTGCAAATCTCCCCTCCCCTTTGCATACATTTGCATCTAATTTGTATGTCAACCTAAATGCACTGGCAGAGCCTCAGATCATCATCTCAAAGTCAGGGGGGTGTGGGGCTGGGCAGGCCTCCAGGTGTTCCTCCTCCTCCTGCTTCCACTGGGGCTCTTGATCCTCCTCCTCTTCCTCGCTGCTCTCCTCCTCCTCCTCCAATATGGTGACCAGTTCCTCCCGCAGTGCCCCTATCTCCAGCCCCAGGCTGCACAGCTGTCCCAGCAGCTGGACATCAACTCGGCGCAGGTTCTCCTGCCGGTAGGAAGGGGACGTCACAGGGATGCCACCCCAGAGAGCAAGGGTCTCGCCAGGGCCTGGATGAGAGCAGGTCCCAACTCATGTCCTGGCCATGGTGCCTGGGCAGGGTCCTCACCGTGCCCGTGGATCCTAACTGCCTTCCTGCTTCTCAGAGTGTATCTTGATCTCTAACTCTGTCTCTGTCTTTGTCTCTCCATTTCATTGTCCCTGACTTCTCTCTCTGTTTCTCAGTAATATGTCTCCTCCCCCTCTTATCTATCTCTGTCCCTGTTTCCCTTTGTCTGTCTCTGTCCCCATTTATTTTTTGTCTTTCCACGCCCCTGTCTCTCTGTCTCTGTTTTGCTATTTCTCTGCCCCTGCCTTTGGCTCTCTTTCTCTCGCTCGCCCTGTCTCCACCCTCCTCAACTTTCTCAAATTCAGTCTGAGTCCCTCTGTCTCTGTTCCTGCTCTTAGTCTCTGCTTCCCACCCCTGTCCCTCTCTTTTGGGATCTCCCTGTCCCACCTCTGTTCCCGTCCCTCACTCTATGTCTGTCTTTCTGTCTGTACGTGCCTCTCATGTCTCTGCTTCTGTCTCTCAGATTCTGTCTTTCAATCTCCGGCCCTCTCTATTTTCGTTCATTTCCATTCATTCTCATTTACTCTCTCTCTCTCTTTCCCTTCCAAACCCCTCACTCACCAGCTCCTCCCTGATCCACAGCAGACTATCCCAGGCACCTCCAGTGTCTGTCCCTGCAGTCCTGAGGGTCTGACCAGGGATTTCCACTGGGGGGACCTCCCTCAGGGCCTGGGGGGGTGGGCCCAGCCCCGGAGGCACCAGTCCAGCCTGACTCAGCTGCCTCCACAGCTCCATGGTCTCTGAGCCATGGCTGCCAGGAGCAGGAAGTAGCAAGGTCCAGGGTGGCCCGGTCCCCCAGGGAGCTGTGTGCGTGGTGGAGAGTAAAGGGCAGAGGGAGTGGGGTGGGGGTTCCTGGCGAAGGTATCCCAAAGTCCACTCTTCAGAGAAAATCAGCTGGCCTTGTGCTTTTGTTTTTCCTTCTGAAGTCTAACCTCAACTCTGCTTAAAGGATTCAAACACAGTCTCTTGCAGAGGTCAAACTCTGCCCCTCCCTGCCTATCTCAGGTCTGACCCCTCAGGGGCGCTCAGTGTCTGTAGATGCCTGGCACCCTCTGTCATTCCACCTGCCCCCCACCACCTCTCCAGCCTCTCCTCAGCCTCCATTTGACCTCTGGCTTCCCCATAGCTTGGTCCTTGCTTGTCCTCTCAGCGCAGGTCATCCCAGGGCTTTCCCACCAGTGTGCCCTTGGGGGCAGGAATGGCTCCCAGGGGCACCAACAGAGCAATCCCTCAGCTGGAGTGCCTGTGTCCAGGCTGCTGGCCTAGGGCCGAGCAGCCAATTCTGCTGACCCTGGACTTGCCTATGGGTATATCATCCTTGCTGAGGGTGGGGCTTCTGCTGTGGAAAAGTCTGGGAAGCACTGCAGGCCTCTCTCGGCCTTGAACCCTTCCTTCAGACCCAAGGTGCTTATATATATATATAATGGTAGATCACGAGGTCAGGAGATCTAGACCATCCTGGCAACAGGGTGAAACCCCGTCTCTAGTAAAATACAAAACATTAGCCAGGCATGCTGGCAGGCGCCTGTAGTCCCAGCTACTCTGGAGGCTGAGGCAGCAGAATAGCTTGAACCCAGGAGGCAGAGGTTGCGGAAAGCCGAGATCACGCCACTGCACTCCAGCCTGGCGACAGAGCAAGACTCCATCTCAAAATAAATAAATGAATGAATTAATTAAATTATATAGATAATTTTTTTTTTTTGAGATGGAGTCTTGCTCTGTCACCCAGGCTGGACTGCAGTGGTGCAATCTTGGCTCACTACAACCTCTGCCTCCCGGGTTCAAGCGATTCCCCTGCCTCAGCCTCCTGAGCAGATGGGGTTACAGGTGCACACCACCACATCTGGCTAATTTTTGTATGTTTAGTGGAGACGGTGTTTCACCATGTTAGTCAGGGTGGTTTCAAACCCCTGACCTCAGGTGATCTGCCTACCTCGGCCTCCCAAAGTGCTGGGATTACAGGCGTGAGCCACCAGTCCCAGCCAATTTCATGTATATGTCACTGGCTTCCAAATGTTTGGCCTCAGTCCTGATCTCTCCCTTGAGTTCCACACCCTAATTCTGCAGCCCTGATGAAGGGCAGGTGAGTCCCCAAATTGGGGCTTAGCCCTGGAGGTTTCTTGGCTCCACTCAGCCAAGAATTCAAGAGCAAGGGAGCAAGCCGTGGAAGAAAGCAGGTTTACTGAAGCGGCTGTGTACAGCAGAAGGACAGCTCCTTGCAGAGTAAGGCTACCCAGAGTAGCAGCACGTGGGCTGTTGGCTGGCAGTATTTATACTCACTTTTAACTGTATGCAAATTAAGGGGTGGGCTATTCAGAAATCTAGGAAAGGGGTGGTAACTTCTGGGTGTTGCCATGGCATTTATAAACTGTCATGGCGCTGGTGGGAGTGCCTTAAGCTGATGAGCAGTGAGGGCAGCTAGAGGTTGCCTTTATGTCATTTGCTGGTTCCAGACACTTTATTTATTCTATCCTGTCAGGACCAGGAAATAAGTCCTGCTGCTCCTCTACTTCAGCTCCACCAGGGTGTCTCAGACACCTCCACGTGAATGTGGTCAACACAGAACTCTCAGTTGGGAGCCCCATCATTGGATGCATTTCCTGTTGCTGCTGTAACAAATGACCACAATCTTAAAACAACACAAAGTCACCGTTACAGTTCTGGAGGTCAGAAGTCTAAGGTGGGTGCACAGGGCTGGGTCCCTTCTTGAGTCTCTAGAAGACTGCCTATTCCTTAGTCTCTTCCAGCTTCTGGAAGCCACCTGCCTTCCTTGGCTCTTAGCCCCTTCCTTCATCACCCTGACCTTCTCTATCTATGATCATCACATCTCCTGTTGATGCTGACCCTCCTGTCTCCCTCTGAGAGGCCCCTTGTGATTACATTGGACCTACCCAATTGCCCATGGTAAGGGTAATCTCCCATCTCAAGATTCTTAACTTTGTCACGTCTTCAAAGTCCCTTTTGGAGACAGAGTCTCACTTTGTCACCCAGGCTGGGGTGCAGTGCATAATCTCGGCTCACTGCAACCTCACTGCAACTTCCACCTCCTGAGTTCAAGCGACCCTGCCACCTCAGCCTCCAGAGTAGCTGGGATTACAGGCCTGCACCACCACACCCGGCTAAGTTTTGTACTTTTAGTAGAGACTGGGTTTCACCATGTTAGCCAGGCTGGTCTCGAACTCCTGACCTCAGGTGATCCACCCACCTCAGCCTCCCAAAGTGCTGGGATTACAGGCGGGAGCCACCGCGCCCAGCCCCAAGTCCCTTTTACCATAGAAAGTAACACAGTCACAGCATCCAGGGATTCACAGGTATGAGTATCTGGGGCAGGGGGTCCGTTATTCAGCCGCCACACCCACCCTCCTAAACCTGCTGCCCTTTCAGTTTCCTCATGTGCACAGCCATGCCAGTCTGCTTTTAGTTTCTCAATCTATTGGCTTAACCTTCAGAACAGATCCAGGATTTGAGCACTTCTCACCATTTCCTCTGCCCCATCCCCATTCATCTCTTGCCTAGACTGTTACAGTAGCCTCTTGTACTGGTCCCCTGCATCCACCCTTGCCCTCTAAGGCAAGGGTCCCCAATCCCTGGGCTGAGGACCAGTACCAGCCCCTGGCCTGTTACGATCTGGGTCACACAGCAAGAGATGAGCAGCAGGTAAGTGAGCATTACCATCTGAGCTCCGCTTCCTGTCAGATCACCGGTGGCATTAGATTCTCATAGGAGGCAAACTCTACTGTGAACTGTGCGTGTGGGGGATCTAGGTTGCCTGCTCCTTATGAGAATCTAATGCCTGATGATCTCAGGTGGAACAGTTTCACCTCAAAACCATCCCCACCCCACATCCTGCCCCCTGGTCTACGGAAAAATTGTCTTCCTCGAAACCAGTCCCTGGTAACAAAACAGTTGGAGACCACTGCTCTAAGGTACATTCTCCACATGGCAGAGATAATCTTTACAAAACGTAAATCCGATTTTAACACTCCCTTCTTCCCACTGTGAATAGAAGAAAACCCTACCAGGCCTGCACCGTCAGCCCCTGCCCACCTCTTAACCCAGTCTCCTATCTCTGTCTACAAGCTGGTTCCCACCTCAAGGCCTCTCTGCTCTAGAGGCTACCTCTCCCTGCAGCTCTTTTCCCTTAGATCTTTGAATGGCTCTTTCCTTATCATTCACTTCCACTTCAATGTCACCTCTTCAGAGAGGCCTTTGCTGATGGCCCTACGCCCCAGTCACTTCTTTTTATCTGCTTATTATCAAAATTACCTTGCTGATTCCTTCGTTTCTTATCCATCCTCTCCCATATCCATGCTGTCCCAGCCCAGAATGTTGACTCCCTGAGAGAGGGACTGGGTCTGTCCTGCTCACTATGGTAATCTCAGCACCTAGAACAGTGCCTGCCATCATGTGGTAAGTGCTCAGTAAATATTCTTGGAATGAATGAATGAATACTGCTATCCACAAGACTTCACAATGGCTCTGCATGCTGCTATCTAGCTTTGAACTCTGAACTGGTCTTGAGATCTCACCTCAGTCTCTAACCTTGAAGTCTAACCTCTTCCCCTACTCTTTCTCTTACCTGACCCTAATTTTAAAAAACGACGTGGTCAGCTTTTCAGCCCCCTCATTCATTCCCTGTTTTAAAGAGGTAGTGAGAGGAAGCTGGAAGAACAAGCTAGCTCAGGGAGACTGCAATTGCAGTCAGGAAAGAAAGAGACTCTGCCGGGAAGGACACCCCATCTTCTCCTAGGGAAAGACTGTGGAGTCCTGGTTTTTTGTTTTGTTTTGTTTTGTTTCAACTTTTTGTTTTAAGAGACAGCGTCTGCTGTGTCGCCCAGGCTGGAGTGCAGTGGCGCAATCACAGCTCACTGCAACTTCGACCTCCCTGGCTCGAGCATCCTCCCGCCTCAGCCTCCTAAGTAGCTGGGACCACAGGCATGCACCACCATGCCCAGCTAATATTTTATTTTTTGTTTCCCTATTTTTTTGTGGCGATAAGGTCCCCCTGTGCTGCCCAGGCTGGTCTTGAACTTCTGGCTTCAAGCGATGCTCTCGCCTCAGCCTCCACAAAGTGCTGGGCTCACAGGTGCGTGAGTCACCGCGCCCGACCTGTGTCTGGTTTTGAAGCTCAGGGAGAGGGAGCTGTGAGCAATCCCTAAACCCTAGGAGAGTAAAAAGTGCGTGCACCTTTAAGAGGACGGTTAGAAAACGCGGGGCGTGGCCACAGGAGAATAAGTTCGCCCCGGCCCCGGCTAGTGGGATAAGACCGACCCCTTCCGGTTACGTAATCTTAGCAAGATGGCGGCTCCCTGGCTGGTAAGTGGCCGGAGTTCTAGAGCCCTAAATTTGAAGTCCGCTCTGCAGCCTCCGCATTCAAGCCTCTGTTGGCGGCCACGAGAGCAAAGAGCCGTGAGGCAGCGGGCTAAGACTGGCAAGCCCCGTACTGGGAGTGCAAACCTGTGGCTATTGGGGGCCAGGAAGGATCTGTGGGGGTCGCAGGCGGAGGAGACGCTTTAGCGAGGGAGGGACTTGACTGAGAGTATCCAGTGGGGATGAGGGAGTGACTTCCGAAGAGCGACGCGACTAACCAATCAGAGGGAGGGATGACACAAGGCGCTAATGGACAGACAAGGGTGGGGCCTGTAGGATAAGAGGGCTTGAAAGGGATTGTTTAAGGATGTGGGATTTGGTCCTAGGAGACCGAAGGATAAATGTAAGAAAAGTTCGTGGGAAATTGCCTAATTTTTACAGAAAACTCAAAAGCATGATGGGCGGGGGAACCAAGAGGCCAATTTGGGGGTTCCAAGGGCATGATCTGGGTGAAATTAAGAGCAGAATTTGAGATATTATTTCAGAGGATTTAGAAAGAATTGGGTAAAATCAAGGAATGAATTTAGGGAAAATTAAAGAGGTTGGCAGCTTCAAATTTTTAAGGAAAATAAGGGTGTGGGTAAAATTATCGACAGAATTTGAAAAAAAAAAAAATGGTTAAAGCAAAGAGAAACTGGGGTAGATTAAGAGAAGACCTTGAAAGCAAAATTGAAGCGTTTGGGGGCTTCTTCCCTGTGGCCACACCCCTCCACTTTCTTACTCTCCTCTTCAAAGCTCATGCTTTTTTTACCCTTCTCGGTTTAGGGGTGTCCAATCTTTTGGCTTCCCTGGGCCACATTGTTCGAAGAAGAAGAATTGTCTTGGGCCACACATAAAATACACTAATCATAACTGATGAGTCAAAAAAAAAAAAATCACACAAAAAAATCCTCCTAATGTTTTAAGAAAGTTTGCATGTTTGTTTTGGGCTGCATACAGGCGGCGGATTGGACAAGCTTGGTTGGGTTGAGGGATTGCTCAGAGCGCCCTCTCCATGAGGTTTGGAGATATGTTTTTAAGAT